AAAGCTGTGTAGAAGACAAGTTCATACTACATTGATAGAAGACATTTGACTGCATTCACAGTAATAAACTCAAAAGGGTAAAAGTTAATGGAACAAAAATAGAATCTAATTTTTTCTCCCCCCCCACAAATCTATTAAGTACCTTCCAATCTATGAATTAGCCAATCAGGTACTCATTTAAAGTGCAAATACCATCAACCCATTTTAGATGGGTCTTCATAATTTATAGAACGAGCTTATATTTCTTCTAGAATCAGGGTATCTGTGAAAGTTAAACAGCTTGTGTTATCTTTAGAATACAGAATGCACATGGAGCTTGTCTGCAGTGATCTTTTAACTTCATTCCCAGCTACTCCCAGTACACATACATTTATGAGCTGCATCAAAAGAAGCATCGCCACATGCTTTCTTTCTACACCCTGGAAAGAAAAACAATTACATTACTTGGCCAACGCAGCCAGGCAGACACCTTGTTTGTCCCACCAAATGTGCAAGGCACCAACTTGTGTTTCCCAAAAGGCTGAGGTAATGGTATGTCATCTCCTCCTAATAAACACTCTTCCTTTGAGCAAGTTCTGAACCTGGGATACAGACTAACCAGGTCAATGTTCTTGCTACTTTTAAATCTCCTCATGTGACTTTTTACTGGTAGTAGAAATGTGTATGTGACAGCTGAGAAACTGAATGATTTCCCCCAACTTATGTAGTATTGAAATATGGACCCAAATTTTTCTAGTAGTGCTAAAGACTTAAAATTGGGTTGGGTTTTTTTTTAAATTTGATAATTTGATTTTTTGGGGTTTTTTTGGGGGTTTTTTTGTATTGAATGTATATTTCAAAGGAGATTTGTCAGAATGGTCAGATGCAAATACTTTGAGGTATTTCCTAAGCCAGTGTAAGTATTGCCAGGGGTCCCTGATAAAGGCTGATTGTGAAGCAGAATGAGTGAGCGTTGGACCTCTGCAATGTGATGCTGAGGTAGGTCCAAAAACTCTCCAGAGGTGAAAACACAATTCTTGCTGTGATACATCTATTCCTTTAAGCCTGTCCCACTTAAAGTCTCTCTTCTTAGACTTAACTGAGGTGGGGGATAAAATCACTGTAATGGAGTCCCGTATTGTATTATCAGCATTTTTCTAACCCAGCTCTGCTTGATGTGTAGAGCTGGCTGCTGGGTACAGCTGGGCATTGTCACCTTGGGGAGCAGAGGGTGGGCAGGAGGAACCAGGGCTGGCTGCTGGGTACAGCTGGGCATTGTCACCATGGGGAGCAGAGGGTGGGCAGGAGGAACCAGGGCTGGCTCTGGGTACAGCTGGGCACTGTCAGCATGGGGAGCAGAGGGTGGGCAGGAGGAACCAGGGCTGGCTCTGGGTACAGCTGGGCACTGTCAGCATGGGGAGCAGAGGGTGGGCAGGAGGAACCAGGGCTGGCTGCTGGGTACAGCTGGGCATTGTCAGCATGGGGAGCAGCCCATGGCTCTCATGCACAGCCAGCAGAGAATAGGAGAGCCTGGGGCTGCAGGGACACGTGGTAGCCCCTGGCTGGTGGCCAGTCTGCCTTCCTGTGGCACAGCAGAGATGTCCAGGCAGGAGGCAAAGTGAAACCATCTGGCCCAGGAGCTTTCTCCTCTTTAGTGCTTTTACATGCCAGGATGAGTTTGTGCGCTTGGCTGCAGTAACTTGCAGTGATGGGAGGAAAATCCTGAGGTAAAGTGGTTGTGATAAGGGGCTGGTCTGAGCTGTGTGGGCCTTGGCACAACCCAAGCCCCCTCTTGGTCTGCGTGCTGCTGCCTGGGGCACAATTCACCTAGGATGACTGCCTGAGTTCCCAGAAGCTGCTGGGCTTGAGCAGCTTGCCAGCAACTTGCTGACTTTTTGCCCCGTTCCAGAAGCTCTGTTTCAGCCCAGCTAGGCTGAGCCCAGCCTGAGCTGAATGCAGCTTCTTCAACCTGGATTTTGAGTCTACTACCAGGGAAAACACAAGGCAAGAGAACAGTGACAGGAGACAATTAGCCTCTTCCTTCTTTCTCATAACACTTTCTACATGTGCACTGCTTTGGGAAGATACAGGAAAAATAAGTAACATTTTTCCCTCATACAGGCCTTGGACACCTCCCAAAGTCTCACTCTGCAAGATACTCAAGATCTATTTGTTTCAAAGATCAGGTCCACGTCTCTCTGCAGAGATACTTTGAACTAGGGATCTGACAAAAATGAGGGTTTAAATGCCTCATCAGGTGAGTTGCTGTGCCTAGAATTAAAGATGTGATCAGAAAGAATTTTATTAAATAGTAAAATGCATTTACAGAAGTAACTGGCTTCAAGGTCAGATGAGGCTGGACTGGTGGTGCCTCAGTCACTCGTGTTCTGCTTCACCTCTAAGTGATTTCACTTAACTGGGCAATTGCTCCCTAAGTGGTGACGCTCAGATTTCGGTCCTGAACCTTCTCCAGGCTTCTGCAGGACAAAAGCTGGAACAGATTCTTCAGTATCAAACTTCTCATGGTTTTAAATGAACCAGATGAACCTATTTCTGTTGTACAACAGTCTCTGGTAATTTCCATTATTTATGAACACATTTCCCCGAAAACTTTCTCTCCAGGGATAGGATGTGAAATGCCTACTTAAACAATAGAGAAAAGGGACTTTCTAAACAAAATAATGAAACTGGCAATATACCAAGAACTCTACATTAACACAGACAAAAATACTTCTAAAGTGCTTTAAAGGTCATTTTTTCTGTTTTTATTACATAGGTGATGTATTTTTCAGTCAAAAATTGGTTGTTTTTTGTTTTTGATGTTTTTTTCAAAAATAGCATAGAGGCATTTTTCCACTTTTTTTTTTTTTTTTTTGTCTTTGAAAGTCACGTAGTATTGTAATTAGTAATATAGTATTTTGTAATGAGAAATGAAGATAAACTCATTACTTTTGAAAAAGGTGCAGAATTCTTACAGGCTTTCTAAACCCAGACAGCTTTACCAGAAGGTATCTCCAGTCAGGCAAGTGCAGAAATGAAGCACTCACCGTTAGAACCATCCTCTCCAGGGTGGCTTCAGGAAAGTGAATCTGAAAGTGCCACTGAATAATGCTCATTAAAATTCCAGGCCCAGTTTCATTCTCATTTATATTTTGGGAAACTAAATTAAATAAAAAACATTAAAGCAATCTCTCCTTTGTAGAAAAGGTACCATCCCCTACCACCCTTTTTCCTCGAAGAACAGGCTTGGCACGTAACTATATATTTACTAAAGAATCCAAGACAGAAGAGCAGTTTAGGTTCCAAAAGTAACCACTTTAATTTCCTCATTCTTCAAAGCTTTTTATGCATGTGAGCCTTACCGTGGGCTTATACAGAAAAAAAAAAAAAAAAAGTCTTGCCCACCAGAATACCCCTCACCGTTAAGATTTTTAACTGCTGATGTCATTAGGATGACTCACAAGTTTTAAATGCAGATCTATGCTTAACGACTTTGCTAATTGTGGGCCAAATTCCCTAATGCTTTGCAGGACTGAGCCAATGTTACAGAAAGAATAGGTTAGTGAGGTTTCTGCCAGATAAGAGTTGGAATATTTTGTCAGGTTGCTCAGCATGGTTGCACGCAAGCAGCATTTATTCAGCTCATGCAACAAATGAGACAAGAAGATCTGTTTGTGCTTTTTGAGGCAAAAATACATACATATTGTTGAATTTTGAACTTTGAAGTGGAAGGGTATAACAGCAAATGCATGTAATCAGTCTGCACAGTGCGATGCAGAAATGCTGTTTAATCTGTGGAATAAAGAGCCCAGGATGTTCACAAAGATCTTCTATCAACTGGTGAACCGAAGATGAAAGGGATCATCAAGCATCAAGTGGCAAGCATCAAGTTTTCTAGCTTGGATAGCACATTCAGAAAACAAGATATGTCATTGACCACAAAAAAATAAGTTTTGACAACAGACCTTGCAAAGATTTGCCATGAGTTGCAAAAGGAGAAAATCTCAATTCTGTGTCTGGCAGAAATATAATCTAACATTGTATACAACTTTGTAGAGAAACATTTAAACAAAAGATTCTGCAGGAGAAATAAAAAGGTCAGGGTTTATCCTTAAAATTAAAATATGAAAACTAAAGTAAATGTTCAGAACACTCACTCTTGCTAGAAAGTGTTACAGAAACCACCCCAGACAGATCACAGCAGACATAAATGGTTTTAAAGGAAGCACAGTAAACCCTTATGAAATTGCATAGAGACTGAAATAATGAGACAATCTGTATAGACAGATGATTAGTTCAGAAATGGAAGTTGCAAGAAGGATAAAGTAACAATAACTTCTAGCACTCTATACTGGAGAAGGACATCCTTCCAACGGCTTCTGGCTAGAAAGGGAATGGCCAAATTCTGACCCCTGTGAATATGAGGGAGGCCCAGAACAACGACCCGTGGGGCTGCCCACTGGACCTCAGACTCGCTGCTGGAGTCAAAATCAGATTTTGGCAGTAAACAAGAGTTTCTGATGACACAGCAACACCCAGCTTTCTTGGGCTTTTTAAAAGCTGTTTCAGACAGAAAAAAAAAAAAAAAAAAAAAAAAAAAAAAAAAAGAAAAAGAAAAAGAAAAAAAGTACAGCAGTCAGGCAGTCAGTAATTCATTAGAGGATGGCAAAACATGACTGAGAAACAGAGCTAAGGAGTAAAACTTTATGAGCAGAGAGGTTTTTGCTGACAGTACAGGTGGAGATAGGTAAGGCAGAGCAGGCTGTGGCAGATAAGAGCGCGCACAGCCCAAGGTGCGAGGCCATCGCCGCACCGGGGCCGGTGCCGAAAGGCTTCGGGAGCAAACACCGAAACACCGCGGGGAGCGAGCAGCGAGGGCAGGACGGGCTGTTCCCGTACGCACGGGCGACTCCGGGGCCGGCCGTCACCGCAGCCATCGCTGCAGCCCCAGAGACGCTCCGGGGGCTCTGCGGGGCCCGGGCGAGCGGGCAGCGCTGGGGCAGCCCCCCGTGCACCAGGGCTGGGCGCCGGCACTGCCCCACAAACCGCTCCTGGCGGCAGAACACACCTCGAGCCCTCCGGGAGCGGGGACACGCGGGGACACGGGGCAGGGCGAGGCTGCAGCGCGGCGAGAGGCATCGCCACCGCCCAGCACACCTCCTGCCCGGCCGCCCGTGCTCTGCAGCGAGCTGGGGCGAGTCCGTGCCCCGGGCCGGAGCAGCGCTGCCCCCCGCGCTGCCGGGCCGTGCGGGAGCAGCCTCTCTCCGCTCGGTTCAGTTCGGTTCGGCGCAGCCCAGCTCCGCCCGTCGGAGCCGCGCTGCTGACTCAGCCGCGGGGGGGCCCGGAGGGCGCCCCGGCCCCGCGGGCGTGGCGGGCGGGGGGGCTGCCCTCCGCCCTCCGGGGAGATAAAGAGCGGCGGCCGCAGCCCGCCCGCGCCTCTCGCCGCCCGGCAGCATGACGGCCATCGGGGCGCAGGTACGTCCGCCGCTCCCTCCCGCCGCCGGGCCGCGCATCGCCCCGCCGCGGGGCTGCTGCCCCAGCCTGGCCCTGCTGCCCCAGCCTGGCCCTGCGCCGCCGGGGTCGCTCCCACCCTTCCCGGAGCAGCTCCGACCCTCCCCGGAGCAGCGGGGCGCAGCCGGCCGGATTCCCTTTCCCGCCTCCTCCGGCCGGCGGCAGCTCCCCGGGGCCGCGGCTCCCCCTCCCCGCCGCACGTGGCTCTCCGAGGGGGCTGGGGGCTCTTGGCTCGACTTTTCTTTACATCTCCTGTCACTTGGAGGGTGTCGCGAGGAGGGGAGGCGCGTTGCCCACGCGGGTCCGCGGGGGCTGCAGAAGATTCCCCCCCTTTCTCCCCCGGGGTAGCTGAGCCGTGCGACCCCGGGGTGAGGACCGAGGTCCGGGCCGCTGCTGCTGCCGGCCGGAGGAGGAGAGACCGGCTGGCTGCAGCTCAGGAGGGCAATGCTGGGAACTAGGAACCCCCCCTGCCAGCCGGTGCTGCCGCCTCCCCCGTCCCAGGCACCGGCCTCCATCCTCCCAGGGGCCGGTGGCTTCCTCCAGCCCTGCCGCAGCAGGACGCTGTGCCGCAAGACCGTGGGGCAGGGACCTGGTTCAGCCAAGAGCTTTTGTGATCCCTGTCCCAGGCCCTGACGTGGGAGCATTGTTTGTGCAGCCAGGGAACTGGGAGAGTTTCACCCACCCTTCCTTTCTCCTGTGTACTGCCTTCCCCTGCGAGAACGGGTTTGATGTGCACAAGTAAATATTTTCAAATACTGAATCCTGCAGCTTTGTCCCTCTGGCTTCATTTCACCCTGAAGTAACACTCTTAACTCTGTTATATTTTTTCCTCCCGCTCTCAGGTGCAGCAGCTGCTGGCACACCGGAGACCACAGAAATCCTTCTTTGAGACGCTCATCAGGAGCCTGATCATCCTGTGCGTGGCCATAGCCGTGGTCTTGTCGTCCATCTCCATCTGCGATGGCCGCTGGCTCTTTGCGAGGGGGCAGCTCTTTGGACTGTGGCACTTCTGCACCGTTAGCAACGACAGTGTCCTGAAGTGTGTCACAGACCTCAGCCTGGCCCGGGTGGAGGGGCTGAGCGTGGGGGTGATTCCCATCAGGAGCATGGTGTCCTTTGCTGTTGTGGTTGCCATATTCGGGTTGGAGCTGCTGATGGTGTCCCAGGTCTGCGATGACGCCAACGCAAGGCGGAAATGGGCAATGGGCTCCGTTCTCATCCTCGTCTCCTTTTTGCTGTCAGCCACTGGTGTTCTGAGCTTCTCCATCCTGGTGAAGGATCACCTCACCTTCACAGGCTTCACACTGACGTACTGGTGTGAGTTCATTGCTGCCTTTCTCTTCTTCCTTAACGGGATCAGCGGACTTCACATCAACAGCCTCACACACCTCAGGAATGGGGTAGGCAAAATCTAGGCACAAAGGATGAACCTCTGCCTTTGTGTAATCAGCTTTGCCAATTAGACTGGAAGAAAGAGAGTCTAATGAAGTTTGAAAAGGATGCCCTGTCTTAATTTGTGTGCAAGGAGGGGAAGCGTGAGTCAGTCTTCATGCCTGTAGAAGAAGTACCCACCCACTGGTCATCATGGAGAGCTGAGCAACACCAGCCAAGCAGAGACTGGGACTGGCTGCTACTGCAATATGGTTTTCTGGAGAAGTGGATTAAAGCAGAGGGTGTCCTGCTAAACCTGCAGAGATCTGGAAGACTGCAATCTATCCCACATGTTGACCTGAGGCTTGCACAACACTAGTACTGCTGTGGGTTTGGTGTTGCTGTGCTTTTCCTTATATTCTGGAGCCTGTGATACAGCTTTGGTGTGTCTCATGGGTTTGTTCTGGCTCAGGGACAGATGATTTCTGCCTGGCCGTGCTCACTGGTGTGGAGTATTGAAACTCATTACTGGATCTTACTTCTTAATTTTTCTTTCAAAAGATAAGGCACACAGAACTTGATCTGGTCACAGGTTTTGTTTCCTTCAGGCATGTTCCCTTTATCTGTTCTGTTCTTGGTCAGTTTTTTGGGGACATTTCAGACAGAGTTGCTGACCTGGGGCCAGGGGTAGGTGTTGGGTGATGTAGGTGTAGAGGGAAGAGATGTGCTGTTTTCCTCAGGCAGCAGTGCATATCCCTGTGTTTGTGGCCTCTTCCCCAGTGTTACCACTCTCCTGCCACCCCTGAAGGACATGTGCCAACTGGTCAACCAAACTGGCTGTCTCACGTGCCTTGCACAGTTTACGGTAACAGGGCATTGCTCTTGGATTTTTTGGTTTTTTGGGGCAAGAGGGACAAGCTCTGCAGAGGTTTCATGGGCTGTGGTGGCTGGGCAGGCCATGCAGAGACCACCACAGCTTCTGGGATGTGTTTTGGTTATCAGGGTTTCCACCGGGGCAGTGCTTATCCTGTCGCTGAATCTCCTGTAGCATTTCTTATGGGAGGAGAAAGGCCCAGATCCTCCTGACCAGATCAGGTCCTTTTCTTCCTCTGACTTAACAGTGAGCCTGGGAGGAGAAGCAGCCCGTGATTGCCTAAGGAGGGGCTGATGGGTGCAGCTCTAATCTGTCACCGCTGGTAGAAATGTTGAGAGACCTGGCCAGAATTATTATACTAAGGCTGGCCTTCCTCCTGCCAATGTCTGAGTCAAGATCTCTAAAACTGCTACAGCTTTGAAGTTCTACATGGTGTCTTATGTAAAAGGAGAGAAGACCTCATTTGTAGAGTAGATTGCCCTACACGTGTTCTCCCTGTCCAACACACAGCACTCAGTTGCTCACAGTTAAAAATGTCTTCAGAGTATTTCAGGGTTTCTGGTTTACTGTTTGCTTTGTATCCACTGGTAAATCTGCTTATATCCTTGTTGTCCAATGAATGTTTCTACATGTTTCATCCCTGTACCTTGTCTGTGGAGCAAGGTTTTAGTTTCCTGTGCAACAAGTTTGACACAGTTTTTCACCTGAAACAAATGCATCATAGCACAGAGGTCAAAAAGCCTGTGTGTGCGAGCCATGAGTAAACAGCTTTGTCTTTGAAAGCTAAGAATCTCAAGCTGTGCCTGAGCTGGAATGTACCACACTTTGATAAATGTGCTCCCGTGGACTCGCTTGCTTTCAGGACAGTCTCCGTTCCTTCTTGGACTTCTGTAACTTCTTCAGACAACACTCCTAAGCCCGTTTTGCAATGCAGGTTCAGACTTGGCTTGCTCTGGACAGTGCCAGTTGTACTTTTGCACAGGAATCTGCTCACCTCCCTGTCAGCATGATGCAGAGCTGTGCCACCCAGACAGCTCCTGAAGCTCTTGTGATGTCTGGGGCTTTGATGGGGCACCTTGGCCCGTTCTCAAGGACAAGGACTTGTGCCTGTGCCTCTGGAGAACTGCCCTGTGACTGTGTCTGTGTGTGAAGGTGCCTTTCATTTGCTGAATGGCACTGTTGAAGACACTGCTGGGCTGAACTTGCACCTGCTTGTGTGAGCTGGTGCTGTTGGCTTTAGCAGAGCCATTTAGGCCAAAGAGACCCTGCAAGTTCTGGTCCCAAACAGTTGCACTTTGGTGTTACCAGGTGTACCAGGAGCACCTTAACTAACCAGTGATTCAGCTGTGGTGCCTCGGCGTGCCCATGTCAGGCAGGACAGTTCCCCGACATGTAAGGGTGTTTATGGCTTGTCTAGAAACATGAATGTAACTTCAGAGTGACACTTTGGTGGCATCCAAACTTGGAAATCACTTCTGTGTGTACTCTCCCTCATGCTAGCAGGAGCCTGTGCCTCCATCTCTTTCCTTGGAAGGCAGCCACAGCCAGACTGGGTTCCAGGCTGGTGCCTCCTGCTCGGGTTAGAGGGAGACTGGACAATTGGCCATTGAGTTCACCCTAGACGTGGTGCAATTGTGAATGATTTTTAGGATGCCCTCTGCCAGCTGAAGAAGAGGCCTTTTGTTGGGGGTAGGGAGTCCTCTGGGGAAAACGGAGTAACTTTTTTCCCAACTGTTTTTCTATAGTACTGCTCAATTATGCTGGGAAAAGATGCATTTTGACAGCTAAATATTACAAAATAGAGTTGATTGTCTTGGAGATTCTTATATAGAGCAACCTGTGCAGCAGTGGGTCACTGTTCATTTTCTGAAGCGTTTGGAAGTGTCAAGCAATATTCCTGAAGTTTGTTAAATAAATTGATTTTAAATAAGAGCTTTAATTCACTCTTTTTATCTTTCGATATTGGGGTGCAGATTTAAGGGGATGAGGGAGGTTTTACATAATCTCCCAGGCACCATTCCGTGTGTCTACCCAGCTAAACTGATGAAGAAATGACTGCTTGGCACTTTCCCAAGCTCTGACCAAGGGAACTGAGGCCACTACACAGTCCCCTCTCCTTTTCCCTCCACAGTGTCTGCACCAGCCCGAGAAGCCAGCACTGCTTTCTTGTCTTGCAAAACAAGAAGGGCAGTCAGCTGTGTTGCTTCGTGGGAATTTGAGATAACCTTGTAGGCGCTTTAATGACTTCCTGCTGTTGCATGTGCTCTGTTTACCAGCTAAAGAGCTCTTTCCTGTGTCCTTCTCCTTCCTGTTCCCACACTGCACCCCGTGTCTGAAGCATCCTTGCTCTTTTCCTCAGCTCTGATTGTTTGGCCTGCAAGAAGTGGTATCTGAGTACAAATGTATTTGTGTTTTTCTCAGAGCTCACTGTATTAGCAGGTTTAGTTAAGTGTCAGGAAAAGAGCTTCCCAGCTACACCACTGAATTAGTTTATGTAATCTCAAGTTAATTAGCACCTGGTGTTCCCTTTCCAACTGGAGAGGTCATTGGCCTGTCTCAGTTTAACATCTCTTAAAAGCAGGGTAATGAACATCACTTCTTGTTAATGAGCCGTTTAGACTTAGCTACTAACTTTAATTAGACACTTGTACACAAGCCATTGCCTGCGGATAAGAATAAGGAAATGTTGTACAGGGCATGCTAGCTAGAGAAATTTCCTGCCTGGACTGTGTTTTTCCAGAATCACAGAATGGTTATGGTTGGAAGGGTGCACTGGAGGTCATCTAGTCCAGCCTCCCTGCTCCAGCACGGTCCTCTAGAACATGTTATTTTGATTTTGTCTCCAGTATGTTCATCAGCTGTGCTTGTAGGGACACCAGGACTGGGGTTAAGCCTTGCTTGCTTTTGCAAGCCTCAGGAAGGTGATTACAAAGATATTCCACATGACTCTCCTCACCTGCTTTCTCTTACCCTCTGCTGGGGCCTATGGTGAGCTGATAATGGCCCTTCTTCTCAACCTTCCAAGACAGCTGGCACATGCAAGAAGGGCCTCACTTCTGGGTAAACAAAGTCTGCCCCAGGCAGTGTCCTGGAAGGGGTGTTGCCTGAATTCCTGCGGCCTCTCAGCTTCACTGGCCCCAACCCCACTGAATCGGTACCAACCCTTCTGAAACAGCTTCTGCCCCAGGCAGTGTCCTGGAAGGGGTGTTGCCTGAATTCCTGCGGCCTCTCAACTTCACTGGCCCCAACCCCACCTGAATCCGTACCAACCCTTCTGAAACAGCCCCTTTCAGCTCCCCTGGCATTGCACAATGTAATTATTCACTGAACAGCTATTGGTTTTTGCTTCTGATAGTTTTGCTAGGAACTTCCTTGTTGCCAGTGTTGGAGAGGAAATCCATTAATGGCTTCCTCTTAAATTCATCAGCTCTCAGGCTGCCGATGCTCGTGCTGGCTTGCAGAAGAACTGGCCCCTCAGGGCACCTGGGCTGAATAGCCAGAGGCTGTCACCAGAGTCCCTGAACGATGACAATTACTTGTGTGAAAGGTGGTACTCAGGTCTTACTTACTGGTAAAGCCACCGTATTACACTGAATACCCAGGAGCAAGTGCAATGAAAGGAAAGTGGGTGGGCTCTATGAATATGGAGTTTGTGTTCACCCTCTGTGCCTTCATCTCCTGCTTTTGCATTGCTCCCTGAGATCTGCTTTCCTGTTCCTCTTCATGTGCTTACAAACACGTCAATGTCCCCAGAGCTAAGCAGCTCTTTTCTCTAGCATCCTTCAGCACAGCTGAACAAGCAAAATCCCCAGCAGCGCAGGGAGCCCAGGAGATGGGGGAGGAAAGGACCCATTCCCCTGTGGTGGTGGTTGGCAGCAGCTTCCTACGGCCACTAGAAACCAGGACAAGGTCACAGCATCATAACTCCAGGAGCTGCCTGCTTCTGGTATCTTCCCGAGTGGATGTGCTCTTCCCCAAGAGCTGAGGACTCCAAATTCCAGCTCACATCCAGGAGTTTTTATGGAGTAACTCAGCTCTTCATACAAACAAGGCTTGTGCTTGATGCCCAAAGTGAACATGTTATACAGAATCTGGGAATAATTAATTTTTCTTGGTTATTTCAGGCAAGACAAATAAAACCAAAATGGCCAGGTAAAACAATTATGCTAGAACTGGGGGTTTTTAAATATAAAAACAAGCAGTATTTTTTTTCTGGGGTATGTGGCAGGCCGCTGTACAAATAGGTATTATGCTCAGCCTGGGCTCCTCCCAATCTTGTGCTGGTCCTAGCTATGCACTGCAGGGCTGAGCTCTTACACTGGTTCATGTGAGAGCCAATAATTGCATCAGATCTAATTAATTACATGTTATTGTATCTCTGAATCTGTATTTCTTCATTTATGCTGGACGGAGGCACTTGCATTTAAAACAAACAGCTGCTTTGGCTTGAAGGATGAATGTTTAATTCTCAGAGAGGGAACATGCAAGTTGTTTCACCCTTCTTGGTCTCACTCATAGGCCAGAGAGAAATTAAGGTTACATTTTTTTGGAAGTATCTGACTTGCTAAATGCACTGGGACAGAGCGAACCCCTGACAAGTTTGGAGGCTCTGCTTGGCTTGGGGTGAGTCAGCAAAAAGTGAGATCTTTCATTCCAACCTTCAGGGAGGGGCTTTCACTTCCCCTTTGGTCATGGGACTCATCCTGCTTCTGTTCTTCCTTCCACTTGTTTTGGCTGATTTTTAAAGGACAAAGCCAACTGGAAACCTTGCTATTTCCAAAAATATAAGGTTAAAGTAATTCCTTGAAACACTTGCCAGTTTACAACTTTACATCTCCTTATTTTTTCCCTAGTCCTAAAAAGGTTCAACTCTCCTACAGCTGGGTGACCTGCATGAGCCAAGGAAGCCAACCAGGAGGGCAGGCTGGAGCAGCCACGGAGCTCTCCCTGCTGCTGAGTGCCCTTCCTCTCCTGGCTGCCCTCCGTGTGCTGCTGCCTGCGGCACCTGCTGCACCAGGCAGGGTGTGGGACAACTGTCAGCACTGCCAGTGGAAAAAAGATTCTTTTTCCTGAATCTCAGAGTTTCAAAGACAGCTAACATCACTCAAAAACCTGCTTCAGTACAGGTAATTTAAGCTTGAACGTATCCTTTGAACTTCTCTGCATGTTTGTCTTTGATAAAATGGCAGAAGCCTACCATGTAGGCATTTGGTGTGATTAAAAGCTCGTTGGAGCAGTTTTGGCAGAAGGGGTTGGGGAATGCTGCTCGGGCAGCATTTGACATGCCATGCATGTTTTGCCAATGTCTTGTAGGTGATTGGGAGGAGGGAGAAGTGATAAACACCATTTGCTTTCAGTTCAAGCATCTTTGCCCTTGAAGAAACCCAGCCAAAAATCACCCCAACTAGGGAAATGTGGATACAAAATCAAGTAGGAGATTTGATTTCATTTGTCAGATGAATTATTTTATCCCTTTCCCACTCAAAACAGAGAAATGTGCTTAATTATGTCCTTAAGAGCATAAAGCTGTGATAGCTCAGATACTTTTTGACAGCATATTACAGTGCACAGCCTTGCAAATTTCAGTACACAGAGGGACTGTAGACTCTAAAGAGATTTTTGGTAGCCACTGTGGTATTGTTTTTCACCAGATAGTTTCTACTGTCCAGTTCAACTGACCTTCAGATGTCTCAAGACTTTCATTTCTTCCCTTCTAATACAGGCTGGTCAAGTCTCAGAGGTACAGACACAATAGGGATGAGCTATCTTAGTGAAGTTTTTTTGATCACCCTTGGAATATGTTGTAATAGCTTTGATACCATTTCAAAATATGATGCAAATATCCAAATTGAACCATCATTGTTTCCAAGGTCTCCACCGTTAAAAGAGGCAAAGGTAAAAACCTGTCTGAGCCTGCCAGTCACTGGAGCAATGGATATGAGGAGGATATGAGAGGAAACTGGAGCTCAGCTGTGACTTATGTTTTCAGTGTCCATCATCCATTCATCCATCACCACAACAGAAAGGCTTTGAACCTTGATAAATTCTAGGGATTAATTAAGTTTGCATTTCAAACCCATGGAAGCTGGCATGTAACCTTCATCATGTAAAATTCACTGTCCTCCCAGCTTCTGCAGCAGAAAAATAAAGAACATAAAAAAAAACCCACCAGCCTGACTTAGCCTGAAACATTCTGGAGAGCCACATGGAAAATGGAAGGTCACATTTAAGGTAGAACTAGAAGCAGGTGTGGAAAGAAACACAAATTACTGTGGGCAGAAACTCAAGGAAGAGCATAATATTTTGGCCCATTTTGCTTTGCAAAATAACCGTGGTGCTGCACAGCATATACACGAACAGACGTGCTCCAAGAACCGCTGATCCACAGCCAAGCCCCGCTTTGCACATGGACACAGGACTGCCAGCTCAGTGCACGGGACTCAGCCACGTGTGTCTGAGCGTGGAGGCACCCTCAGGTGCACAGGGCTAAAGCACACTCGACCTTTGGAGGGTTCCTCTCCTGTGCTCTGCTGGGCTGGACCTCACCATCTGCATCTCTTGAGTCAAGCCGCTTCCCCCGTTACTGGCTGAGGTGCTGAGATGCTGTCGCCAGTGCTTGCTTAAATGCCACTGCCTCCACTTTCTCTGAACTTCCAGCTGAACCTAGGTAGAAAGGTCACAAAATACTTAGTTCAGCTGGTTTATGTTGGAACCCTGCGCTGCAGAGAGCAGCGTAACAGGAAAATGAGAGTGGGTTACCTTTGCCAAGGCTTGGGTTTATTTATTTAAACCCCAGTTTAAGGGGTTGAGGTAGGGCCTGTTTCTTGACACTTCTAGTGATACTGTTGTTGCAGCTGCACAACTTGCTATTTAATTGCAGGTGAAACTGGTCACGGAATCTAGCTGGCCTTAGGAAGGGTTTGGTTTAGATTTTTCCAGAATTTAAATTTTAGATATAAAACCGGGATATTTTGGCACTCAAAAAGGCAGATTTTCTTTTCAAAACCATTTTTTCTGAACCCTCTTGACAGATCAGTCAGAGTATTTCAAAACCCTCCTTTATTTCAAAGTGACTTTTTCTTAGGCACTGGCTTGCTTTTTTTCCCCCTTCCAATTTGCTTGAGATCTTCCAGGTTTGTGTGTTTCCCCTCACCTCTACCAGCAGCAGCATTTCAGAGTGCAAGTTCTAGCCCAGAAGCCTGGGAGTTGTCATGCAACTACGAAGGAAACGATCCCTCTACCAAAAGCTTTACCTTATGAGAATCCTAATAAACTTGGACTGGGTATAGCTTTTGATAAATTCCCTCCTAAGGATTGAGTAAATAAAGCAGCCATGGATGGGGTGGCAGATAATGGTGTCATAAGTCAGAACCAGTGGGCTGTCAGTGTGACTGTGAGAGGGATGGTGCTCCCACCCTCAGTTCCCAGACAGTAATAATGTTATCTGATTTATGAAAGGGTTGCAGTAGTTGAGAGGTGAAGTTTGCATCTGGCATACAATTACCTAGGCTTGCCTGGTCTAGGAGGAATTTCAAGAGTGATGTTAGGTAGCTGGGAAGAAAACCCTCAGACAAAAGGTGTAATTCATTGGGGGATGTATCCCACTGATTAACGAGGCATGCTTCAGCAATAAAAAAGAATGTTATACACACGTAACTCACCTCACCATTAAGAAAACAATAAAGTACAGCCACAACAAAGCCCTAAAAGATAAAAGAACCATGGTCACAGGATTGCAGTTTCAGCTTTTGAATGGGGATGAGGCATCTCAAGGGAAATCAGACAGCTTGGCTTTGCCATTGGAAACTCAAGTCTGTTGTAGAGTTCTATGTTCTACCTCTTTTTCTTATTTTAAAGAAATAATAGCTTGTCAAATATTACCTGGAATGATCCAAGAGCCAATTCAAAAAACAGCTGAATTTCCATTGTACCACTGCTTGCATCCTCAGGGAAAAAAGCAAAGATGATATAGTGGACCCCAAAGAGAGGGATGAGGAGGAGTGTTGATTTTGCAAGTCTCCTGAGAATGAAAACAGAGGGAAAAGCTGGTGTAGAAGGAGCAAGAGATGTTCAGGTGACCTTGAATGTCTTATAAGGGATGTAAGGGACATACTTGTATTGGTTGAAATCACTGCTCCGTTTTTCAGGAGATCTGAGCTTCCTCATCAGAATTCTTAAAATGTTGACAAAGAGAATGAAATTAATCTGGAAAAAACCAAAACCAAAGAAAACAAAGTAAGAATGCAAAAGCAGCCCACCAAACTACAAACAACAACCCACCAGTATCCAAGTATGTGACTGGCAGGTATCAGCAGAGCCACTTTGGGGGGTTTGGACCGAGCAGAAAGAACAGAGGGGTCGGGGCTGGCCTGCCTGTGTTGCCATTCCGTTCTCTGTTCCTGCTTCTCCAGCCTGCTTGGCCACCCTGGGCTTGGATGCTGGCTGCTTTCCCTGCTGGTTTGCTGCAGCTTTAGTTATGGAGATGGTCAGGGCTTGTTATCCAGGCAAATCACCAAAGGGCAGGGAAACCAGGAGCATCGGCTCTGGCTGTGGGGCTCTGACAGCCTCTGCAAAGTCTGGCCCCACTTTGGATGCCAGCAAAGGGGCAGCGCTGGAGCCATCACTTGCTGACTGGGACTACAAATGCTCTTTGTTCCCTGCTAAAAACACTCCGTGTGGTTTGGGATCACGAGGCAAAGTAGTTAAAAGTGGGGAGAGGAGAGAGTCGACTCTGGAGTTCTTCCTTTTGCATTTTCCCCCCTCTCGAAGGGTGGATATCAGATAAAAATGCTGATCTGCTCAGTTTGGGTGCAGATGAAGCAATAGCTGTTTCTGCTCGTTTGACCCTCAGGCAAAGAGTGGGAGTTGCAGGGGAGGTAGAGCCGCCTGAGCGTGTCTGTCTGTCTGTCTGTCCCGCGGCCAGAGCCTTGCACCCCGTGGGGAGCGACCTCGGGCTGATCTGCCCTTGGCTTGCACAGCCTGCAGAGCTGCGCCCCTTCTGCTGCACCCTGCACCCCTCCTGCAGCATCCTCAGCACCCTGGCCGTGGCTGGCCCTTAACCCTTCCCTGAGCCGGGAAACACCATCGCGGAGGTGCATCCTCTTCATGGTGGGTTAAACGTGCAGCAGGGCTCGGGGGTGGTGGGTCTCCCTAAAAGAACCGGGTCTCCTGGAGATGGGACAGACACAGCAAGTCCCTGAGTTCTTTAAAGTTATCGGATGGAAGGGGAGCAGCTGTGGCCGCTGAGGGGGTCTGGAGAGGGCTGGAAGTTTGGGGAAGATGGGGAGGGAGGAGGAAAGGAGTAGAGCTGGGGGAAGTTAGAGCATAAAGGCAAGAAATATTTCAGGGGTGGTGGGGAGCAAAGGAGGTTCAGGTCTGGGTGTTCTGGGATTTTTAACCCATTAGGCCAGGGAAGAGCCGTGTAGGCTGAGCAGGACTTTTCGCTGATAAAAACCACAGGGAAAGGGGGAGCGGCGGGATTCCTGCCCGGAGGAATTGCCCGCGGGCAGCGCAGCAATGAGCGAGAGCCTGGGAACACAAAGGTGTTTATCGGTGCTGATTTTCTGCCTTTTCAACTGCTGAAGACTGTGAGGAATACAGAGATTAGATCTGGGTTTTAAGATCTGGCTGTTTGTTTGGTTTTGGGCTTGAGTAAAGCCTCCCTTGAGGAAAACCTGCAGAGTCATGCAGGCGGCTTCTGCCTTCAGTAGCTAAACAAGAGAGGATCAGCACTCTGAGGACACTTGGAAGGCGATAGTGGATGGGGGCCGCCAAAAGATAAACTAAGATTGTGCTTTTTGTCTTGCCTGGGGCTCGTTGGCTTTTATATATTGCTGAGTGGCTTCTAGCATGAGGGTAGTTTCATAAAGAAAAATAAATGCCATGACCTCGGTAAGTTGATCCTAAATCACTTGTGCGGTTGGCTGCTTGTCTTGTGGGGATGCAGTATTGCTCACTGGTCAATAGGAGCAGAACTTTAACCCACCATCTCTGCTGCCTGGGTTTCTGAGAAGTGTGCAAGTGTTGCAGTTTGTGTTTTGCAAACAAAATGGTTCTTACTGGAAAAGTGAAAACCTCAACCAGCCCTTGGGATTTCGTTTGGAGTGTCAGCAGGTTACTTGAGAATAACCAGCAGTTCACATTTCTGGGCTAGGGTTTCAGGCAGGTCATTGCAGCATGGTCTGACCCAGAGCATCTTCATCGGACAGAACAATTATCCCAAGCAGCAGCTCCAGCCCCCTGGTACCTAAGGCTCTGAAGGAGAGTACCAGCAAATGCTCAAAACACAGATGCTGAGTATTACACACACCAAACTGCTCTTATCATCATTACTGCCTTGCACTGGGCAGGCTCACACTGAGTTTCAATGATGCCTGTGCCTTAATTCACTGAGCAGTGCCTCAGTGCTGTCCACTAACATGCGGTGCATGCAGCCTGTGAACTGTTTTTATTCCTGAAAACAAAAGCCAGTGGTCATGTAAGGCAAGTTGGTTTTGGCTTTGCTGAGAGAGGCATTGACCAGCAGACACAAAAGTAATTGTACTGAAATGTACAGCCACTCATTTCTCCTCCAGAGCTTTCCTTGAAACAGTCCAAAACAAGCTTCCACAAAACAGCCAATTTCATCTGAAATCAACAGGATGTGGAAACCTGATCTTCTTCAGGCTCTTGCTTCTTGGGAGGACACTCTAGCTTTCCTTGTGAACTTAGCTTTGGGGCATTAGTTACTGACTAAGTCCTGCTGAGCAGAAGTTGCTTAAGCAGTAACTCATGGGTCACACCAGTTCAGACACATGCCTAAGATCAGTTCATTAACACACTTCTAAAGCATGTTGAGTAGATGAGCTGTGACTTCACAGTATTTGAAAATACAGATTGAACCTGCTTGTTCCAGAAAAGACTTACAAATATAGACACAACTATGGGGCCTCTAATGATCCACCAGATATTGGCATCAGTGTTAATGTCCCAACACCTGTAAAAATAGAAGGTGCAGTCAGTTATCAAAACATTGGTATCTTTTCAAACAGGTTTAGTCTGTTTAACACCTTAGATAGGCCCCTATTCTCTTTTCTACAAAACTAATTTTCTGTTCTCACTGAGTGGTACAATGTGTCTGACAGAAAACTGCCCACCTGCACTGGATAGAGACAAGTCCTTCCCTTAAAGTACAAATGCTGTTCAAAATTTTGAAAGGGAGGAGAAAGAAACAAACTTTCACTGTTCAGAAAGTTAAAGACAGATACTGAAAACATGTGGTCTGAATTCATAGCTGAAGGCTACCTCCTACCCTTGAAAATGCTCAAATGGAATTGGAAGCCTTTTCTGGTGTTGCTCAGCTGTGCCTCTACTCACAGCCACACTAGGATTCACAGCAGGATGTTGGTTGATTTACTTGCTCCCAGCAATTAGAAATGAGCAGGACCCCATGGAACAGCCTGCACAGGGGCTGCATGCTCCCCCTGGCATGCCAGCTTCCCCCACTCCACGCCACTTACCCAATATTTTCATGGAGCTGCCGAGCAGTCGCCCATGCTGCCACAAACACCATTGGGGCACCTGCAATTGGAAAAACCAGTTACTCCTTCACAAGTCCATGCCAAAGGCAGAAAAAACCCAGTTCTCACTGAAGGGAGAGCCAGTACCCCATCCGAGGGCGATGAACCACCAGAGGAACTTCCTTTCCGAGAAGAAGGAAATCACCAGGAGAGTGTGGAGGTACAGTCCTTCCACAAGGAGCCAGCTGTAGTTAGACATGATGCAATACTGAAAGAAGACCATGGTGAGCTTACAGCCAGCCTGAGGAAAGAGAGGATAATTAGCTCCTGCCTGGGTTTGTTCCTACCTTCTAGCAGAGACAGTGAGCCGTAAATTAATCTTGGCAAATAGAGATTTTATAGCAATTAGGGGACTAAATGGGTGTCCTCGAGACAGAGGTTCACATGACAAGAAAGCAGAGCTGGCACTCCTAAATGCATTAATCAACTGCCTCACTAGAAGAACTGAATGTGTCATGGACACTTGGATTCAGGTTACTGTCTCAGGGGAATTTCGTAATTACTACCTTCCTAGTAGGAGTAACACAAATATCACCTTAGAGAAGCATATGTCAATCCTTTTTTCCCAAGAAAAGCAGATGATAAAGACAAATTGAAATGTCCTCAAAATGTTATTTTTCTGCGACAAATATCCAGCAAAACCAGTGGGATAAAACAAAACAAGGCTATTTTTGATCCTCTCCCTAGTTCTTGTCTTTTAGTTTAAAGCAGTGACCATCATCTCCAGTGTAGCTTACCCCTCCTCACACCCAAATTTTCAAAATAGTTTGCTGCCAATAAAAACAAAAAGGCAAAAAACATTTCAAAACTGGGAGGTCCCAGTCTGTCTGAGTGCAAGCTCTTATCTTACTATCAGGTCTCACACTGCAGTGTAAATCAGCAATATTTAATGTGTTCTCAGAGATGGGGCAGAGCATACCTCTCTTCTCCCATAACCCCTCATGATGAACATAAATCTGGGATGGAGATTTCCTTCCCTGTACACTAAATCCTGCTAGGATCCTGCTGGGAAATTGAGGGTGGAGCAAGCTGATGAGCAGAGGGTTACCGTGTATGCCCCACAGTAATTTGTGTCCTCAGAGGAAAACAAGACAGCATCCTTGATGAAGTTGGATGAGGCTCGCAAAATGAACGATGTGAAGAGATGCATGTGGATGTAGTTCCTTGTGCAGCGAAGCCTTCTGCAAAAACAAAAGAGAGAGAGAGAGAAATCCAGTGAAGTGACATTCCTCACCAATGTAAGGAACCTGTGGCTGTAAACAACAGGTTTCAATCCTTAGTAGTGATAAATGGACAAATGAAGAACAATGTAGTTCTGTCTGTGAAATGAAGACTGATGCATTTCCCAAAAGGGATATCCTAGAGAAGACCTTAAAAAGCTACAGTCATATCTGCTCCACTCAGGTACTAAAGCTGAATATTGCCAGGAAAATTGTGATTTCATGCCAATATGCTTGTTCTAGCATCCCTCCCTCCCTCCCTCCTTTCTGTAGTAACATGAACCCAAGGTGTTTATTCACACCCGGATGAATTTATTTATTCTGCCAGCACACTGCACTTGTGCCTGCAGTGTTTTCTGTATTAAATCTTCACATAGTCTGTGTCCAGAGGCCGTGCAGCCTGAATATAAATTTGCAAAGTAGTTGGGTTTCCTTTTGCCCAGAGGTGCCGCCCTGACATTTACTGTAAGGGAAATTAATTTCACTGAATAAGCAGCACAGTACAAATTCCAGGTTACAGGGATGAGTGAAGATAAGCTGCATGTCAGATTGCTAATAGAAACTTTACTACAAGTCAGTGCAGTGACGCTTAGAACAAAGTTTCAGCCACAGTCTCAAGTGGGGAAAAGAGCAGCAGGGGGAAAGACACTCTGCCCAAGGGACACTGAAATCACGGGAAGACCTCAACAGGGAGTTGGTGCAAATGCCATTTGCAACATGCATCCAGCTGTGATTTGGAAAGAAAAGGAGAGCAAAATATAAAGAGCAGCCCTGACATTTTCTGGGAGACAAGATTCAGACAGACATTTTGTCACTGATTTCTGTAAAGGTTTTCAGATATACTTCAATTTTTAGCTTGCCCAGAAAGTCAATAGAAGGATTTGTGTCAGCTGAGATGACCAGAAGTCCTGACCAAACACAAACCAGAGATGCTTCTCCTCACCTGAAGGAGGCCAGGACCACCAAGGCTATCATCAATGTCACAAGGGAGGTGCAGTATCCGATGGTGTACATGGTCTTCAGGGTCATGAAATAGGAACGCTGCAGGGGAACATATAATCACATCTTTACCTTGTCTGCCTGGTAGAGATCAGCCCACAACAAAAGAAAGATTCGTCCTCCTATTTAATGAATAAATTTTCTTGTAAAATCAGCTACTGAAATTTCACCCTGAGCAACCACTTGCAGGAAGTATTCATGCTGAAAACCACCAATAGCAATAACCCCACCTGGGTTAAATCACAACATCAATCAGTCTCTCCCAAAAGTGTTTCTCCTCAGGGCCCCAGAGCAGCAGATCTGTGGTCAGGGGCACTCAGACTCACCCTAGCCTCGTTGGTGGTGTCGTTGACATTGTAGCCACAAGCAATGTCAGGTCTCGGGTACGGCTCTGACCAGCCCTCACTTGTACAGTTTCGGTACACAAAACCTGTGCGGTAACAATCAAAAAGACACAATGGGGTATGACCATTTCCAGTTTTAGCTTTGCTGTCCTCGGGGTTCAGTCACCATGTAGGGTTGCTCCAAGAGCCAGGAGAGTGTGTTGCCCCAGGCAGTGCACTCTGCATAGCTGGAGGCAAAATGCAGCTGAGCTGATTCTGTTGATACTTGCCAGTGTACTTGTGTGGGTCATAATATTGTTTGCCCACTCAGGGATGACTGTGATGGATGTGTTTTTATTAATTGCAACATAAATAATACTGCTCAGTACATCTGGTGTTTCTTGGCCACTATTCCAAGATCAGCAAACACATGATTTGTTCAGCCACAGATTCAAGCTCCATGCAAACCTGATACTCTGCTGAATGCTCCCACCTCCTTACTGTGGTTTGTCATGCTCCAAATAGAACACAAAACTGTAGATGGTCACAGATTTTCAGTAAGATTTAAACTGATGCTAAAAGTCTTTTTCCCACACTGGGCATTATTTTACACGGTTGATTTCCTTGCTAACTTGCAAATTAAAGGTTAGGAAGAAATTCTCCTCACTTAAGCTCAACTTCTGGAAAGCTGAGTGCTCAAGTCCAACTGTGTCTCTTGGGACTGTCTTTGGAGAAAAATATACACGGTTAGGAAGAAATTCTCCTCACTTAAGCTCAACTTCTGGAAAGCTGAGTACTCAAGTCCAACTGTGTCCCTTGGGGGGTCTTTGGAGAAAAATATACATTTGCAGAATTCAACTCACTTTTTGGACTGGTATCCACAGAGGACAGCTTGTCTGACCCTTTTCTGCTGTGATGTCTGACTTTTAGACTCCTAATGCTGAGTGAGATGAATGCCCAGCAAGCTGCACATGGCTGAATGGGATGGTTTGAACTTGTCCACATTAATGTTTGGCTCTAAAGTGGAAGTGGGAAATCCTGCCCAAAGCCACTTACAATGTCACTGGAAGAAAGTGGCCCTAGCAGGCATGTTTGTTATGTACTGAAGAGAAACTTTTACAAAGAAGTAAAACAACTTCCCTCTGTCCTAATCACATTGATCTCTCTGGTAAGAATCATACTTCAGAAACATGGAGTGAAATCCTGGCTTTGTTGCAGTGATGGCAATGCTAGGAGGTATTTAAAGGGGACATGAAACCAGCGGTCCTTCCTAGTACAAGCCTTGCCAGAGGGCACCATAAAAGTCCATTTTTCCCCCACACATTTAGGCATGAGGACTTTAGGGTGTCTGGCCCTTTCAAAACATCCCTGCAGTGCTGAGGGAAGTGAGCGAGATGCACATCCAGCAGTGTATGGTGATGGTTTATCCTCTTTGGAGCCCTGCTGGAATTGTCAGGACAGAGCCAGGGCTCCTGCTACCTCTGGGCTAATGCTGGTGACCTGACAGCATGTCTGCACTTGATCTGAACTCACCTCTGTAAACCTGCAAGGCACAGCAAACAGGCTTAGAACCCTGAGTGGAAAGAGCTCTGGGTGTGTCCTTATCAGACTATTATTCTGATGCTTTTTTGAACATCTTGTTCCAGCGTAGCATCTTTGAAAGGGCCAGGCTTGCTTTATAAGGTTTTTTATGTTTTGCCGCAGTGCAGCAACAACAGGAAAGAGTCAGCTCTCCCAAAATGTTCTCCCCAGCCTGTCTTGGCACCCAGCAAGGGGGTGGTGTGGTGGCAGGTTCTCTACTTCAGCGTCAGCTATTAAGACACACTTACTTAACTTGGAGCTAAGCACTGTGCTTGTAAACATGCCTGTGACTGTTTTGTGCTCGAGGCTGTCAAAGCAGATCAGACAAGAGGAGGTGAAGTTCTGTGCTGGTGTGCACATACTATTGCATTACATGCAAAGCACAGGAGATTGTGCCAGGCACATCATATGGATGGGCACAAGGAAAATTGTACCAATGCTCCTGAGCTATGGGTGACACACAGGCTGGGGAAGCTGCAGCATGCCCCACTCGGAGCAGACTGGGAGTCTGCAGTCTAAGGATTTGGCTTGGTGTTTACTGGTGCTATGGAATTGCCTAGGAAAAAAGGAACTCTGACTAAAGGGAGGGCTGTGGCACTGGAGCCACCTGATGTGGCCTTTGCCTCTGAATCCTCAGCATTGTCATACCTTTCTTCATTCCTTGCCTAAGGCACCATGCTCAGTTCTGTTACTTGGTTCCAGATAATTTTGTTTCTTTAGTCTGCTATGTTGAAAGGGACCAGAAAGTCTGGGCTGCAAATTCAAGTCTAGAAGTGAGCACAGAGACCAGGGTTTGGGCAGAGCTCAGAGCCATCCACATGGCTTAACATATGGGCCTTTGGCATTTGTGGCTGCCCATCTGCTTTGTAAGTGGTGAGGAGAGAAAACCTTTGCTTTTCTTTTGAAGCGAGCACATCTTTGTTTTTCTTTTTCAAAATTGTTTCAAACAGGGCAAAGACTGTAGCAGTAAATAAACTCTGGAGTCACAAGCCAACCACAGTATAAACCCAAAGAAGGTGGCCATGAGAATGAGGTTAAACTATTGCTGACTTTGACCCAAAATGCCAGACGCAGAGACTGAAATAATGTGCTAATGATGATGGACCAGGTCTTGGGGTTCTGTTTTGAACACTGTCACTCTGATTACTGTTATCAGCTTCTCGATAAGGAGGGCGACTGAAGTTTAAGTTGACTACCTCCAAGATAAGAGAGTGAACATCTCAGATGTAATTATGACCTTTGGATGTACAAATTCCTGCTTTCCTCCCCGGTGAGAAGGCCAGAGGCAGGGAGCAGTTCCCTCTAGTGGCTGGACCAGCAGGGATTTTAATTCCTGCATTTGAGGGCCGGGATCACTGTGCTGAAGAAGTAGATGCCAGACGCACGGTTTCTTCAGCGATCTAAGCCTTTGTGTAGTTTATCCTTTGGCTTTAAACCAGCTTAAAGGGCTCAAAGGGCAGATAATGTTCGTGTGTACAGTAAGTAGCAAGGTTTTTATTTTAATCTGAGTGGCTCATGTCTGATTTCATTTAAAGAGCACTAAGTGCTTCTCCTTTGAGTTATGTAATCTTTATTAGACAATCTAATACTTTGTCTCCCTTCATAAAATGAATCTGTCTGCTTTTCTGTAAGTACTGGACCTCATTAATCTGTGCCCTATAACTGAAGAATGCAAAACCCTCTTCCCATTTGAATCATTAACTCCCTAAAGAGAAACGTAAACACATTTCTTAGGCATTACTGAAAAGCAGAAATGAACAGAAAGCAGGCTTACTTAATACATGATTACTGTAGTCTACTGGGAGTAAATTGCACTTCATTTCTAGCTTAGATAACCCAGAAAAAAATAATTTCTTTAGCTCACCTCTCTTTGAGTGAATTGTTTGGTCAGCCATAAATCCTGAATTTCCATGAGATTTTGTCACTTGTATGGATACTGTCACAGACAAAAGAGAAATCCCCAGAGCAGATTTCCTCTTAATGAAGGCAAAAAGGGGGATCTTCTCTGCCTGCCTAGCTGGATGTTTTTGCCAAAACTCGTGTGAACCTAATGCTGTGTGAAGTTTTGTCTCCATCAAGCTCCTCTGGGACCAGCCACTGGCTCTAGGAGTTATTAAAAGGGAAAGACAGAAATAAACACAGAACCTGAGTGGAGAAAACCCTTTTCCTTAAGAAACCATGCTAAAACTCTGCTTTTCAGGATAACATTTAATTCCTGCATTTTTTTTCCATCTGGCTAGAAAACACATACACTTAAAAGATCTTGCTACTTTAATTCCAGGCTTTTCCATGTTCAGCTCAGAGGTGGAAACAGATCTGCTAAGTAACTATTGTTCTTTAAAAGAAGGAGGGAAAAATACTCATTTCAAGTTCAGACCTGAGAGTGGCACCTTTGTAAAGAAATAAAAAATAAAGTGTTTAATAAATAAGTGTTTTTTAAAAATACCTGGGTGAGAAAAGCATCATTTTAGGATTACCTTTTTTCCCAGTCAGCATCTGAAAGAATTCAGGGCAGTGAGCATTGACAGTCTGTCCCACAGTGGATGAAGGCCAGCAGCTCATGTTGTCCCACATTCCAGCACATCTGCCTGGGGGGGCAACAAGGAAATACCATACAGCATCTCCCAGTGACATAACACCATGAAACTTCTTCCAACAATGAAACACTGGGAGATATCTCCAAGCAGCACAACACCATCCAACATCTCCCACGGACCAAGGCAGCTACAGGAACAAAGATGCTCAGTGCTCTGAAAAGCAAGCTGGGTGAGACAGAGCAAGTCTGCTGAGACTTGGATAGGACAGAGCAGATCCTGATTGCTTCAAACCAGCCTCAGCAAGCTCCCAGACCTGTCCCATTCTTGTCATTGATCCCCTTGGTCTCTACTAGGCACACAAAGCACAATTAGAGTAATTCTGAACTTCACATCAGGCCTTTTGCTACCTGTTTGCTGGTAACTACTGAATGGCCCTGGAAAGATGAAGGAAATCAGATGGGAATTTTTAAACTTATTTTCAGTCTTTCTAAAGCTTTCACCTTGAGTCATCCTAATGTTTTCCTTACATAATATTTTTGTAAATATAAAAAAATGCAACTAGATGACCCTGCTCGAGCAGGGAGGTTTGACCAGATGCTCCATTGGTCCCTTCCAGCCTCACCCATTCTGTGATTGTGTGACTAGGAGTTTAAAATGCTTCAGGATGATACTTAAACCACAGATCACTTAAATCACAGACTATTCTGAGTTGTAAGGGACCCACAAAGAGAGTACAATTCTAAGTGAATGGCCCATTTGGGGATCACACCCACAACATAGACATTATCAGCACTATGCTAATCTCATCATGCTGGGGAAGGGATAGAGATGAACAGCATCAATGTCTTCCTTTTATCACCATAAACACTCCTCTCTTTCACTGTGCTCAGGCTGCAATGAAGTGAAAAATGACAACAGATCACTCACTGAGCGTGGCTGCTCAGACTCACCCCATTTCAGTTAGGTGCAAGGGCTGGTTATTTTAAGGATGGGCTTGTCATTGTCCCCTCTCACAGTCAGGGAGGGAGGGAGACTTTTCCAGCTGCACCCTTGACTGTTTTGCCTTCGGGCAGGGCTGGTAGAGATGCATCAGGGAGCTCATCTGGTGGCCAATGGAGCAGAGTATGATGGTGATCTCTACTTAGACATGTTGCTTAGGTGCTGGATGCTGGCATGGATTAATTTTGGCCTGAGGTGCAGAATGTTAATGGAGAAGACCTCCATTTGATGCTCTTTGTACCAAAGAGAAACTGCAATCCTACCATTTCTTATTTTGCTCTTCTCCAGATACAGGCTGAAATCATTCAGATTCATTCCCTTTTGCCTCCACTCCCTGTCAATGGTTTTAGCACAGCCTTCTTTGCAGTTTCTGCAACAAAACAGGGGGAAAAAGGCCACTGGGGAGTGTCAGGACTCCCCTGTGCCTGCTGTATCCGGACGTGTGCCCTGCCCTGCATGCTCCCTGAAAGCTGAGGGGAGGAAGTGCTGACCAAGCACTCTCCTCAAACACTTCATGCTTTATAAGGCCAGCCTCCATTAGCCTGACAAAAATGTTTACATTTCTAGAAATGTATTGATTTCCTTCTGTGCGACAGGCCTAGTGCCTGAAAATGCAGAGCTGCTCACAGCCAGGGTGGCACCTCAGCCTGGTGTCCTCCCTGTGCCAATGTTTATAAGTCTTGGAAAGGATTTACTTCAAAGCAAAAGTTTAAAGGCAAGCAAAACTTCACCTTGGGTGATATTTATGACTTAACATGCTGCATTGTTTGGTTTATCAAATGGTCATGCCAACACCACAGGCATAAAACCCCAAAATCAGATCCAATGCACAGAAAAACCTGGCAAAATTATGATGTTGGGTGGTTTCCATGAAGGAAGAGAAAACAAAAACCAGCCGAGCTATTTCTACTGCAGGTGGGCTTCTTGCCCCTCCTCATGGCTAAACACCCGCGTCTCCCACCCCCAGCTAGACAAAGAGCCTCAGGGTGGAGACAAAGCACAGCAACATCTCCCTCACACAGCCCTGTGCTCTTTGGGATCTCTCTCCAGCAGCACTCAGAGCATTCTCCCAGCAGCAATACACGGTGTCACCATGATCAGGGGTTCCAGGTCTCCAGTAGCTTCCCTGCCATGCTCCTTGCTCCCAAGAGAATTTCCTTGTCTTCACTCATGCACTAAAAAGAGCGTAACTGTGACTTGGGTTATGTTAATATTACACTGCTCGCTTTCCCAAGCTAATGTTATCATAAGGGCAGAGTCCCTTTTCCTTTTTACTGCTGGAGGATAAGAAACACTCACTGCTCAGGTACTTGGTGCCTAATTCCAAAGCAATGAATTCCTTTGTTTGTGCCATCTTCACAGAGATGTGAGCACTGCAGCAGAGATGGCATGGTGGGAGCTTGTTCCCTGCTTTGTCCTTTTTCCTGCCTGTGCCAGTCAAAGCTTCTGGGGCAGGTGCAGGAAGGAGGTGTGGAAGGTGGCCCACACCCTGCAAAGCCACCTTTGTTCCTCCCTGCATGACCCACCAAGGGTATGCACAATTCCTCAGCTTTGTTTCTCTCTTCTTCAAACTGAAATCCTTGTATGGGGTTTTCTCCACATGGACTTCAGGCATGCAGACCCCTTAAAGGCTGGAGGCATTTTCAGGTGTGTTATTCCCCAGATCTGCCTTGTGGAGTACCTGGAAGCTGCCATAAGGTATCCTGTCACTGCCATGTGGCTGTACTGCCCTGAAGCTGTGATCACACCCATCAGTCTGCAAGGGACAGGGATAAAACAGTAACAGAGAAAAATGCAAGGCATCCTAAGAAACCAGGAAATAGATCTTCCCTCTGAGTTCTGTTCTTGGGCCAGGTCATAGTGAGACTGTTCTGCGTCTCCAACACTCTCTGTTAGAGAGGAAGGCTTTGAAACTAAGCAAACACCTTAACTCCAGCTCCACATGGTAGCGTATCTGTGGCCAGGATAGCCTGCACACAGCACATCTATGGGAGCTCCTTCCCTTCTCGTGCTGGTAAGAACCTTGCCCATATTAGAGTGCACAAAAGTCACCCGGAATCAGTTCAGTCTGTGAGATGCTGTGAATGACACAGCCCCATCCTTAGTGGTGATGGTTGGTCACACACTAAAAATAGTCACATGTGTTGCCTACACCCAATGTTCTCTCTGAGATGCTGACCCAGCAGCTGCATGGGGGAAATAACACACAGTTCACAGGCAAGGTTTAATAATCTCTTGCACGTGACCCCAGTTGCTCAGCTGTGAAAGCAAAGCTGTCTACATGATGAGGACTCAGTACCACAACTTTCCCAGGCCAAAAAGCTCCTTTGTATGATGATAAATCCTCGCTGAAATTCAAGAACTCTTGTGAGGTGACAGTAACTTGGAACAAGGAGGAAGCAATGAAGACCTTCAAGTCACGTGATTTAAATGTTGGCTGCTGGTCTTCATTGATTTTTAAGGTAAATATAGTTAAGTAAATTTGCAGTTGCTGGGGCGACTTTTAAAATTATCCTTTTCCAAGAAGACATGATTGCAATTTGCAAGATTTTGTTGCTGGTGTGTTCCCTAGTTGTGAGGATTGCAGTCAAGCAACTGGGTTAGAAGGTTTCCACAACTCTTCCTGTCACAGCAAGGTCAAAATCCCACTGTCAAAGACTTGTAACAGATCTTACCTGTTTTTCTGCTCCTAAAGGAGAGATGTATTCTAAGTGCATACCTCCTACGGGAAGGGATGCTGGGGTGTCTGAGTTTGAGGCACCCAGTTCATGTGAGAGCAGCTTTTATCATGTGCATTTGTGCAGCCTTTACCTGAGCTCAGGAGCAGATAATTTTCAGTCGTTCTGTTCCTTGCCTCCAGGGACAGAGTCTCCACACACTTTTCTTCCTCCCTTTTCAGGACGCTCAGAAGGTCACAGACAGGTGGAATAGCTTTGATCTACAAATTTCAAAAGCAGTGGAATCACTTTTCCTCTTAAAACTTATAAAATCTCAACAGAATCTATCCTTTTTATGCTCATATTACCCATGTAAATCTATCACTTGATTGTGGGCAATATTTTCTTGAAATGCAGACAGTTTTCCCAGCTAAGTCTGCATTTTTGTAGTAGCAGCAGGCAAGCACAGACTGAGTTTATGTCTTCTCCCTTTTGCTGACATTACTGACATTGAGAAAAATGTGTTATTCTGCTAAATTAAGTACATGAACAGGATGCTCTTCCAAAAGACTGCAGAAACATCCAGGACACTGCTGGAGTCTCCTAGAGTAACAGAGAATCAATCACTCACCCATGGCTGTGTTAAATCATACACCTGGCAGGTCATTTTCCTGGGCACAAGTGATCCAAATATGCCCACTGGTTGCAGACCACCCAAGCCTGTTTCCCTGCTACCATCTGGTAGCTGCAGGAGCCCACCTGAAAGCAGAATCTCACCCAGATTTTCATGAGAACCTAGATGTGAATTTGTCCTAAGGTCATTTTCTCATCTTCCCAGCCAGCTTTCTCATAAAACCATGTGGAAATGTTAATATTCACTCAATCCTGATGTAGCAATTAAATGTGTGTTTATGTTTTATGCAGCTGGACCAAAATCAGTGAAAAAACCAAACATTTACGGACCATTAAAATGACAAATATTGAAAATAATTACAGAATTATTTGCAGGACAAGGGCTTTACAGTTATGTTGTTCAGAAAAAAAGTATTTTTACCCTTTGCAGGGTAAAAGTTATTTTTACCAATGTCTATTATTTTTGACATAAGAAACCTGAATATAAGTGGCTGCCCATTATAATGAATTAGATAATTTCTCTCTAATGGATAAACACAAAATCTCTATAAATTCTCACCATGGAACCTTTATGTACATATATAAAAATGCATATGTATGTACACACATAATGAAGAGATTAGAAGCCAGTCATCAGGCTCTATTAGTTGAAAAATATCAGATAGAATTTGTTTATGTTCTTTGTTCAAGAAAGTTAACCCAGTAGCATCACATTACTGCTCAACCTAATAAATCTTGTAGGATTGCTGATCACTTTCAGATTAGATTTGGGAGAAAGAACAATCTCTGAAAACCTTGTAATGAGAACTATTACTTTTCTACAATTAAATTTTAGCATACCAGACATTAAAGACCATATTTCCACTGTGTTGGCTGGAAATTTTTTGAGTACTGTATTTCTGAACAAAGTTTGATGTTTTCAGCAGTGTATCATACCTCATCTAATTGGTTTAGTGTGTAAACTTGTGTTTAATTTCAGTATCCTTCTCCCTTGCCTTTGTGTGTCATGAAATAAATGAACTAGAAATCACCTGGTTTTGCACAATGTAATAAATTTTCTGGAATCACACATGCAAAGACTTTATATGAAAGAAACTCTCTTCTGATGCCAGGATTTGGATGACGAGCGTTTGAAATGGCCAACATAACCAGTCTGAGTTGTTAAGATGATACTGAACATACGTAAAAATAAATGCTAGGAAACATGTTAACAATGATCTCAGAAACAGGGGAATACTCCATCTTAAAAAAGCCTCTACATTGTGTGGGCACTGTTTTCCTCTAAGAAATGTGGGTCCTAAGAAAGTTTTTGTTTTACAAAGGTTTAAATTCTGTGTTATTTCTTTATGGCTAGAGTGAGGCCACACAGTTTTAGCACACCCAGTTGGGAAGATCTTCCTGTTGATCTGATACAGCATTACTTTCTTACACTAAATGTGTTGTTCAAGTAGTGCCTTACAATTACTGTTTTATCCCACAAAGTGATGTTCACCCTACTCTTCTAATCAGCTGGATACCACTTCCTGGGAACAGATGTGCAACTAACAGGATTTTAAGCCCAGGGAAAGCCGAGAGCTTCCAGGTGTGGGTTTTAAAGAACCTTGTTTTCTACCAACCCTGTCCCTGAGCCAGTCTGTGCCAACACAGGCATCCGAGGGAGCAGGCTGGGTGTGAGCGCTGGGATGTTTGCGGAGCGAGGCGAAATCCGCTTCCCATGGCGCGGCCGGATAACCCCACTCTGCCACCAGCTGTGCTCAGTCTCACTCGTGTTTACCATCCACAAGTGGGAGCAAACAGCCTGCCCCTGCTGCTTGAGAACAAGGAGCAAAAGGGGCTCCTCTACGTGCTGTTTCTATGTCTATTCCTAAACAGTTCCCTGAAACAGTTGTGATCTCCTCGACACTTCACCAGCTACTAAAAGGATAATTAACGCTATCCCAACTGAATCCAGGACAGAGAGAAAGACATCCTCATGTTTTGTTTAAAGACAAGATACCAATCCCATTCCAAACAGAGATAACTGTTATAAATAGATCTCCAGAATGGGAAAAATGCTGCAATATTGATAGCAACAGCCAATACAGTTTTTAAAGTGTGAAATGAGTGGATCTAAACATTATCCAGAATTCAAAGCCATTTCTTTTTAAAATAAGTGGATTTAGTGTAATGAGAGGATTTAAGGAGCAAAAGATGCCTGGCAAAATCAAGACAGGTATTTTGAAAGATTAGAAGAACCAATAGAAATAGATGCTCTTGGGGACACCCTGAGCAATGACATCAATTTACAGAGTCCTTTAGGTAGTACTAAGAATAAGAAACCAAAATTACAAGAAAACCATCACAGTCACATTTTTTATTGCAGACAATCAAAAGGCAAAAGGTTTGAAGATTGCATTCACTCTGCAATTAAAATGTCTAGGCAGAGCTCAGGTTTTCTCACAGCTGGAGCCAAATTCCCTACTGGGACAAATAACTTGATTTTTCCATTTGTTGCAATGAAACAGTGATTGATCCTTTCCTAACTTCTCACACCCAAGCTAGACACATTTCACCCCTTGTTTTATATGCATTCAAAATTTGAATAACCTGAGCAACACCTGCAGATGACAGCCCAGGTTCCACTCTCCTTTCTGACTGATCCAAGCACCTGGAGCTCAGCAGTGACAATCTGCCACATAAATCTCAGTAAAGTGATAAAGCTAAAAAAAAATAAGACAAACGTTGTGGTATAAACATCACTTCACATTCCTTCAATGAGTCCTGGGAGGCACTGCTAGTTGTGGGCATTGCCCCTTAAGGGATTGATTGCTGGTGTAAATCAGTAAAGCTTCTCTGAATTGAGGTAAATTTTTTCTCCTTCATCACAGCACCTGCTGTGTTTGTCAAAGTGGGTTAGTAACACTTCTGTCTTTATAAAGGTGGGGAAACTGAGGCATCCAGCATCTAGTCATCTGGCCACTGTTAATTAGTGCAGGAAGCAGCAGAAGCAAGAAGAAAATTTAAAAATCTCAGGTTCTACACAGATATTTTTAAACAGAGACACCACAACTTCATGGAATAGAGGTGCTCAGCATTACTCAGATAACATGTGATTCCATGCAAACGCGAATAAATAGATCTGAGCACCTACCGGGACAGTTGAAATCCAGAAGATCACCCAGATGGTCCACATAGTCAATCACAGTCTGTTTTCTTCATCCCTCATGCATCGCAGGTCAGCAGGCTGTTTGTATGCTCTCCAGCGTGGCTCCTAGCTCTTTTCACTTCATCCTTTTCCCTCCTTGCCTTTTTCCCTTCCCAGTTTTGACCATCCTTAGCCAATGTTTCTCTCCAGCTGCTGAGCTCTAGACAGCATCAACAGTGACAGGACCCCCCCTCCCTTCCACCCTGCAACTCTTCTCCTCCTCTGCAGAAGCGCCCTGTCCCAAGAATTACAGCCCCTCTCTTGAGCATGTTCCTACTGTTGTCTGCCTCCCTTCCTGGCTATTATTCACTGTTATCGATGGGTGTCGCTGGGCAATGATCATTCCTCATGCTCCCACGATAAGGGACCAAGCAGGACTCCCCTGTAAGATGTCAGCTCCACAATGGCAGGAGCAAACAATCAAGGGGAAGTAGAGCCCTGGAATAAGTGCTCTGCTGAGAAACCGAGTTGGAGGAATGTGCTTCAGGCTGCCTGCACTGCTTCGGCTCTTGATAGCTCTGCACATGCTTCCCACAGGGAGCACACATCCCTGAGAGGCAGAAATCAGGAAGCTGGCAGAGTCTGCTGCAGGTGAGCCAGCTGCCTGCATGTCCCACCAAGCCCAGCTGAGCACAGCTGTCAGACCCAAAGACAACTTCTAGTCTGGGATAAACAGGGAATCTGCTCTTCCCTTCCAGAGAGGACTCCAAGTACTCCCTAGATTTCATCCTCTTATCCAGCATCTGAAGAAACAGCCAGTCTGCATTTCATCCAAATGCTATAGGCTGCAAAGTGTCATTGCATTTGGATCCCACTGGTACCTTGTTGCTGGATTGTAGATTTCAGACATCTGGGATTTCCCAAAGACAGTTCCTTGGCAGTCCCCTCGCCTGTCAGCAGAGCACTCTTTGGTGTTCCTGGTTTTGTTTCTGAGGCAAAACTATTGTAAAGGGGCTGTGTGCTTAGCTGGGTGTGAGCTCCCAGCTGCCAAGGCAAGCACTCCAAGCCCGTGATGGTCACATTCACTTCTAGCACAAGCTGAATACAGCTTCAAAAAAGAGCCAAAGTTTGCACTGTAGACCAGTGCTCTTTCTCAAAGCATGGCAGTCCTCATCTTGTCTCAAAATATCTTTTACCACCTATTCCAATTTTCCATCATCAGACAGGTCAAATTTAATGAATGTCTGCCCAGAACACAGATGAGCTCCAGGTTTACCAGTAAAGTCAATGACTAGGAAAAAATATATGGCTAATTGCCTGTGCACTGAAAATCCTGCAATTGGATTAAACAAGTTATCCACTGAGCAGCACAATGAAGGAATTTGGGTTGCCTAGCAAGTGCTGCCCTTTCCATGCCCACCCTGACTCCAGCTCACCTCTATATGTGCTCATGAAGATCACTGAGTTGCAATGCTCCCTCTTTCCCTGCACACCACCCTCATTTCTCCCCACAGTCCCAGAGCAGCAGTCAGGCAAGCGGCAGCATTTGCTTAACCCCACACTGGCTCTGTCCTGCTCATCCAGCACACTCACACAGCATCCTTTCCCCCTCAAATGGCAAATGCTTCAGTCTTCCTTGCCCCAGTCCACACTAAACTTGTAGTGATTTTCATTTCTTGAAGACATCTGCTTCCCCACAGAGTTTGGTTGAAAATATCAAAGGGTTAAACAAACTGTTGAGAGGGGGTCTGAGAGGCAGACAGACAATGGTCGCTGTAGTAGTCTGAAGAAACCACACTGACAACACTGCATCATCTCGGTGAGGCGCCAAGTCCTTCTCTCTCTTCCTTTGGCTGAAGGAATATTTTATTATTCCATTCATATTGCAGCATCTTCCCCTGAAAGCCAGCACTCTTTCTTGCATTTATGTAATTGAGAGAGCTTTGCTTCTGAATGTACTTTGGAGTGTGGCGCTTCTTCCAAAACAGGCCCAGGAGTCTGGAGAGTCAAGGCTGGATTTAAATGCCAACGGTGTGGATTAATATTTTGTGATCCTCCCATTTTATTCACATGCAGGCTGTTTGAAAGATGGATGCAAAATAAAACCTGGGAGATTCTCACCTGTGCAAACCATTGTTTTACTCACAGCAGATGTCAGCCCAGCGGGACAGACAGGGAGAGCTGGGAAACCTAACAGCAGCAGCAGACTACAAAGAATTACTACCAAGAATTCACAGAGCCCCAAATTATATGTTTGTTTAATTAAACAAGAGCTGTGTGCATTTGCTTTTATACCTACTACGTATACCCCTTGTAAATTTGTCACAGCTGGAATTTCTTTCAAGTCTGATATCTAAACCAGGAAAGAAACATCTGAATTTGTTCACACCATTTCAAAAGACCTTTCACTTTAACTTTAGGAGTAAATAGAAGAAATTGCTTTGTACTATTCTGATTGTTTACTTATCAAACACTAACTGACTTTAATTGTAAATATTTCTTTATTAATACTTAAAAATTCCATTAGTGCTTGAAACAACTAAATTTTCTCCTCCCTTTGCTAAATAATTAAATTGTTTGCAATGACTTTACTACAGCTTGACAATCAGTCCAAACATTTTTCATCTGATATTTGGAATAGAGATAAAATTGAGGCAAGAATCACCTATTTAAACCCTGGTTAATATTCTTTATTTATATCAGCCTTCCCAAGGAAATCCGAAGGTTTGTTGGCACTCTTTTCACCTACCTTTTCCACTCATTTGCTGTTCCCAGGAAACTTTACAGAGTGCTTCTCCAGAGGTGCATCATGTTTAGACCCTCTGATGTGGAAGCAGACATGGTTTTTGGTTTACACTCAGCTCTCGCTGTCCAAACAGACTGATGTACTTGTGAATTGTGAGGAGAAATATACTCTATTTTACCTCTATGTTAGAAAAACTGAAAGTGAACAATTTCATTTTTAGAATATATAAGGAAAAAACTCGTGGAAATAATTCTGGCTTTCTATATTAAGCCTATATTTAAGACATCATGTCAAGGGTACAGGAATAGTTTTTTCTAAGCATAAGCAATTACATCTTGCTAAGTATGGGAACTATGTTCTGGGATCTGAATTTTATCTGAAGCTTTTCTTGCTTACATTTTTATCCAAAATGAATGTTGCACTACTTTTGGACACATTTTACCCTGCGTTAGAAAAACTGAAAGTGAATTATTTTATTCTTAGTCCAGATCACCTGTCTTAAGGGTGGGGGGGAAGGAAGAAAACTTTGGTTTCTTTGCTTTCTCTTCTCCCCTGTACCCATTTAGGAAAAAATCTTCATAATTTATGGGTGATATAAAAACACACTGAAGAAAGGTTTCCAGGAGTTCTTTCCAAGGGATGGCCCTTTAATGCTGAAAGCAAGAACATCAAAGTGGGGAAAGGTGAGGGGAGGGAAAGAGAAAAAGAGGGTGGTTTGGGTGGTTTGTTTTTCTTTTAAATAATATTGTAATAAACCTTTCAAAATCTGTTTTAAACCAAGTAAGTACAATTGAGGTGTTAACAGATGACGGTTTTTAACGGGAAAGAAGTGCCTGTGCTCTGTCTGTGGCCACACTGGGAGTACTGAAAATGATGCTTACTGGGGAGAAGAATTTAAAAAAAAAAAAAAAAAAAAAGTGACGGGGTGGGAGGAATGTTTTTTATTCTTATTTTGTACTTTTCGCCGGCAGAGGATCCGGAGCGCCGCTGTTGGGATCCTGCCCAGCCGCTGAATAGCGCGGCCCAGCGCGGCTGCCCCGTTGCCGAGCGACCGCCGTGGGGCCGCCGTGAGGGCCGGGCCGGGCCGGGCCGGGCCGCGGGGCTCGGAGAGGGCTGACGGGGGCAACCGGGCTGTGCCGGGGCTCCGGTAGGGCTGACAGAGGCAACCGGGCTGTGCCGGGGCTCCGGGAGGGCTGGCAGGGGCCACCGGGCTGTGCCGGATCTCTCTCGGGCTGTGGCCGCCGCAGGTACGGGTTGTGCACAGCGATGCCTTTTCCAGCCTCTCGCAGCTGTGATGGCTTTGCAGCTCACCCTTCGTTGTGGTGAAGTGTGCGAGAAGTTCCGAGGCGCTAGAAGGGATTAGAAAGCCCTAGCGCTGGCAAGGAGTAGGGCGATAAGCTGGTCTGAGGGCGCTTGGGGTGAGTTTCACCACGGGCTCACAGGGTTTCACAGTTCTCTTGGTGGCTTCACACACACGCACAAATTCTCCATAGACACAGCTGTCTGGAAAATTTAAGAACATCAGGTATTCTGACATTCCAGGACCTTAAGGATTTGTCCTGTGTTAGCCCTTTGAGCAGCACGCAGTGTGTTATTGAAGTTGGTGAGCCATGATGGCATCATCACTGTAAATTACTGAAAAGGTTATACCAGGAATCCTTTGAGGAGACTTATGTCTGCCTACACCTTTTCCAACCTTGCATTCCTGATGTGGAATGCTGACCAGGAGGAAGAGGGTGGCAGTGATATAAATTAAAGTTGAAGAACACAAGTGGAAAAAATGTAAGCCTTATCCTTATGTTTAGAATTTTTTTTTGCAGTGTTTTTTGTCTGAGTTTGGTCTTGCTACATCAGAAGAAATTTACTCTTGTGCACAATAATGCAGCTCCTCTTACAGGTTTTCTGTTGTGAGTGGAAAAATTGTGCTTGGTGTTATTGAGTGGAAAATATTATGAAGGCCAGGGTCCTGGTAGCACATTATTTTAAGCTTCTTGCTTATTTATTATTTAATACTGCACAAAACCATAAATCAGAACAGCAATTTATGAGCTTGAAGCACCTCTCAAGTTGTGCCTGAAAGATCTAAAGCAGACTGGAAAATCAGACAAATACCAGAGATGAGACCATAAAATGTAATGGAGGAGGTGGAGTAATGGTTCAGCTTTGAAACTGTTGAGTGCTGCCTGCTTGAGGGCTGAAAATCCCAGCATGGCTTTTGAATTCAGTATTTGTTCCAAAAGTATTGTATCTTTGTCTCCATGCAGTTCTCCAGTTCCTAAAAGAGCCAAGGGCTCTGTGTGCTCTATTTATGAAGATAATTTCTGGTGGATGGTTC